TCCGCTGGGATGAGCTGCAGTTTGGAAGTCCTGAGCGGTACCACAAGGCAGCGGGGAGCCGGCTCACTTTGTCCCTGGTGAGGGGAGCCATCCCTGAAGCACCACCCTGCTGCTGTGCTGCCCTCTCTCCCTGCAGGACACCCCTCCCTGTTGATCCCTTTCATGACCCTCTGTTTCCTACAGAGCCGTAGCCCCACTGAATCTCTCCTCAACGCAACCCTTCATCCTTATATAGCTCTCCATTCCCTATAGAGACTTATTCTATCCATCTCTGGCATGAGTTTCCATCCCCTGCAGAGCCACAGTAGATCCTTCCTCTACACAGCCCTGAACCCTCTATACAGCATCGTACTTCATCAAGCCCCTATGTTTCCCTCCATCCCCTACAGACATACCTTGTCCATGTCCTACACTCTGTGCAGTGCCTCATCCTGGAGTCTTCTTCTTTCCTACTGAGCTTGCAGAGCTTGTCCTTAGAGCCCATCCTGCACCATCCCCTGCACACTTTGGATGTCCCTGCTCTGCTCCATTGGTGCAGGTCATCCCTCCATCCCAGGGTTCCTCTCCCTAATCCCCTCCTTCCCACAGCGTGGCTCCAGCTATGGCTCCCTGATGACCACTCATGGCAAGTACCAGATCTTCGCCAACACCGGCCACTTCAAGGTCAGTGCAGCAGGCAGGGAGCTGAGCCCTCCCACTGAAATGCTCCCACTTGGCTACACCCCCATTCTGCAGGGTATTGGCACTTTCCTTCCCTTCACAAATTCATACAGTGGACATTGACCTTTTCCCCTTCCCAAACACTGCAGGGCAATGTTGTGGCCATTAAGCACATCAACAAGAAGCGCATCGAGTTGACGCGGCAGGTGCTCTTCGAGCTAAAGCATGTAGGTTTGAGGTCTGGGCTAGGGTGGGCAACCTGCTTGGGAGTGCAGGGATTGGTCCTGGGCATGTGGGAGGGTAGCAGGGGCAGCAGCTCATGCCCTTTGACCTCAAGACTATCTTGGGACCACTTCCATCTGCAGATGCGAGACATCCAGTTCAACCACCTGACCCGCTTCATCGGGGCATGCATCGACCCCCCCAACATCTGCATCATCACTGAGTACTGCCCACGGGGCAGCTTGCAGGTAGCGGGGCTTGGGACACTGCAGGTGACACTTAGACATTCCTGGTGACCTAGCTGGTCTGCATGTTGTGGACAGGGCTGTGGATGCTGGTGGCCACCTGAGCCCTCCCAGTAATGCTCACAGCTGAGCTGTCCAAGCAGGTGTCAGAGGCCAGTGGAGGGGTGGGGGTGGGTGCTGCAGATTCCCTGAGCTGGGCACTTGGTGAGGCTGCCATCACCACGACCTGGGTGCTTGGTGGGGTCTACTCAATGTGCTACCGCAGGATGTCCTGGAGAATGAGAGCATCAACCTGGACTGGATGTTTCGCTACTCCCTCATCAATGACATTGTCAAGGTATCCAGCTGAGGGGTGTGAGGGGATGGGGAGAGGCGCCTGAAAGATATGAGCTTCACTGCATCCATCTGTCCCAGGGAATGGCCTTTCTGCACAACAGCATCATTGGCCACCACGGCAGCCTCAAGTCATCCAACTGCGTGGTGGACAGCCGCTTCGTGCTGAAGATCACCGACTATGGCCTGGCCAGCTTCCGCTCGCCCAGCGACAATGAGGACACACATGCACTCTATGCCAGTGAGTGCCTACCTGGGAGGACCAGCAGGATGGGGTGGCCCTATCTCACTGCTCCATTGCTTTGTCCCACCAGAGAAGCTGTGGACAGCCCCAGAGCTGCTGCAGAAGGGACACCTGCCCACCCCGGGCATGCAGAAAGCTGATGTCTACAGCTTCGGCATCATCGTGCAGGAGGTTGCTTTGCGCAATGGCCCCTTCTACATCGAGGGCATGGACCTGAGCCCTAAAGGTGAGGATGGAGAGCATGTGTGTGGAGGTCCTGCCCCACCATGGAAGTCTGGTGCTCACTGTTGGCCACACCCCGGCAGAGATCGTGCAGAAGGTGCGTAACAGCCAGAAGCCCTTCTTCCGCCCCTCCATCGACATCGGGGTGCACAGCGAGGAGCTGGCAGTGCTGATGGAACGCTGCTGGGCGCAGGAGCCGGCCGAGCGTCCTGACTTCAGCCAGATCAAGATCTTCATCCGTAGATTCAACAAGTGGGTGGTTGGCACGTGGGGATGGTGGCCCTGGGTGGGAGTGGGGACAGCCATGGGGGTGGTGGTTGGGGGGCACCTCTTCCTGCAGTGCCAACTGACTGCGCCCTGTCAGGGAGGGAAGCACCAGCATCTTGGACAACCTGCTGTCACGCATGGAACAGTATGCCAACAACCTGGAGAAGCTGGTGGAAGAGAGGACACAGGCCTACCTGGAGGAGAAGCGCAAGGCCGAGAACCTCCTCTACCAGATTCTGCCCCAGTGAGAGGGGGACACAAGGGGGTGTGGGGCTGAGGGTTGGCATGGGTTCAGCATGCACCTGCTGCTGTGCAAGTATGGGGTCCCTTGCCAGCTTTCCATGCTGGTGTGGGGCAAGGGTTGCAGGGGGAACAGCAGGTTTGGGGTGGAGCTCACCAGTATCCTTGCCAGTTCCGTGGCAGAGCAGCTGAAGCGTGGTGAGACAGTACGGGCTGAGGCTTTCGACAGTGTCACCATCTACTTCAGTGACATCGTGGGCTTCACCGCCCTCTCGGCAGAGAGCACTCCCATGCAGGTGAGAGCACGACCTGGGGGGCAGCACCTCTGTGGGGATGGTGGAGGTCTCACACCCTGGCAGTGCCATCCCTGGGCTTGGGGGGACGTGTCCTCTCCTAGATGCACACACCCCCTTGTTCCATCCAGGTCGTGATGCTGCTGAATGATCTCTACACTTGTTTTGATGCCATTATTGACAATTTTGACGTCTACAAGGTGAGTGGTGTGGTGAGCACGCACAGTCCCCCAGAGTGAGGCAGGCAGCAAGGAGTCCAGGCTGTACCTGTCCCCCCTGCCCCCACAGGTGGAGACCATCGGGGATGCCTACATGGTGGTCTCGGGGCTGCCGGTGCGCAATGGGAAGCTGCATGCCCGTGAGATTGTCCGTATGGCCCTGGCCCTGCTCGAGGCTGTCAAAACCTTCAAGATCCGTCATCGTCCCAATGACCAGCTCCACCTGCGCATCGGCATACACACTGGTGAGCCCCCATGCCAGCCAGCTGGGGGGTGCTTGCCCACCCACCTGCCTGCCCTGCAGCATCCCCGAGTGCCTCTGTGCCTGCAGGTCCCGTGTGCGCTGGAGTGGTGGGTCTGAAAATGCCACGGTACTGCCTCTTCGGGGACACGGTTAACACCGCATCCCGCATGGAATCCAATGGCCAGGGTAAGCCAGGGCAGCTGAAGTACAGAGCCATGGGGTGTGTCCTGTTCCCATGGTACCCAGCCATGTCTCTCTTGCTCCTCTGTGCTACTCAGCCCTAAAGATCCATGTCTCATCTGCCACCAAAGAAGTCCTGGATGAGTTCGGCTGCTTTGAGCTGGAGCTGCGTGGCGATGTGGAAATGAAGGTGAGGGCACAGTGATGCCACTGGAGTACCAGCCCTTCCAACCACAGGGAAGTGTGAGGGGGAGGTGGGTTGGGGCTGGGACCCCTTGTTGCTCTCAGTGCTGGGGATGACACCCAAGAAGCAGCTCCAGGGACAGGCAGGGTCTAACTTGCTCACCTCTGCCTCCAGGGCAAGGGAAAGATGCGGACATACTGGCTGCTGGGCGAGAGGAAAGACCCTTAAGTCGTTTGAGCCCAGTGGCTGTGGCAAAGCCCCCAGCTCAATGGGGCCACCAGTGCTTTCCAGTGCCCCAGGATGCACCGGCATCCCCCCCCATCACTGCATCCACCTCTCTGCAGCCCCCCTGCTTCAGCAGGGCCTGGGCAAGGTGGAGCAGCGGCCACAGCACCGTCTGCTCCCCTCCATCAGCACCAGCAAAGCCCACCTTCCCCACAGCCTCTGCTGGAGTGGGGTAACCAGTCCTCATCCAGCCCAGGAGACCTTGTATTCCCTCACCCTCTGAGGTCTGCCACCCCTGCCCTCTCCCCTGTGGCTCAGCTGGCTCTGAGCTTCTCCGGGGCCTGGCTGCCCCGCAGGGCACTTTGCCGTCTCTTTTCAGTACCTGGCCCCCAGCAGAAGTTGTGCCCATGTCAACCCCTCCCTGGGGTGGGGGGAAATGGGGATTCCTGCCAAGACTGACTCCTTGGCCAGGTCAGGCTTCAATGCCGCAGCTGCCCCCCTCCTCAGTCTCCCCTTCCCCTGTATATAACCCCACCGGGTCATGTAAATACCCATCCCTCCTCCAGGTGTAAATATAGGACTCGCTGCAACTATTTTGTTGAAATACAAACTTCCCCAGATCCATCTGTCCTGTGGCCTCTACTTCACTCTGCCCCAGCATGCCAAGTGGGGAGGGAGGCCGGGGGAACACCAATATGGAACTCAGCCTGGGCTGGCGACAGCTGCCTGAAACATCCCAAGAGATCGTATCCCAGGGGTCTGTCTGCGGTGTAGGGCAGGAGTGTGGGCATGGGGAGCCAGTGCTGGGCGGTCGCAGCAGCGGCTGTTGAGGGCTTGGGCGGTGCTGGGAAGGCAGGGCTGCCATGGGTTTGCTTTGGCGTGAGGGCTGCAGTGCGTTCCTCTGAGCTCATGCTCTGGCCGCCCTGCTGCCGCCTCTTATTGGAACACACCTGTGCCTGGGGACTGGAACAACGGCTGCGTGTCACCCACTGCGTGCACCGGGAGGGGACGTGTCCCGGGGGAAGGGGCTGTGCCAGGGGCTCTGCCTCCATGCCTAAGGAGGAAATCTTGGGACCACAGTGTGTTTTGGGTCAACAGTGACTTGCAGCAGGGCTGAAGGGTTTTCCATTTTGCTTCATGCTCTCATGGGATTTGAGATCCCAGGGACAGAGTGCTCCCCGTCCAAACATTCAGCTTGAGGACAGCCTTCGGGTAGGCAAAGATGCTGGGACCACCTGTGTGCCCTTGTTTTTTATTACTTGTGGGGCTGGAGCTGTCTGCTCAGGGGGTCATAAGGGTCACAGAGGTTGAAGGGCTCAGGATGCCCTAAGTACATGGTAATGGGAGTGGAGAAGTCTGCATTCCTCTTGAAGGGAATGTTTCTGCCGAAGAGGGCAGTGACACCCTGGAGAGGAGAGAATTGGAGAGGTCTCTGTCAGCAGCTGAGACTCCCAGAGTGGTGACAGGACAGGGTGGTGGGGGCCTTACCGGCATTCCACGGGCTTGCTCCAGCCAGAAGCTGGTTGGCTGTTCCGTTAAGTAATTGTGATGCTGCAGTGGAAGCAAAATGTGAGCCGGAGGGGATGGCATGCTCAGCAGGACAAGAGCCTTGCTGCCTCCCTGGAGGCTGCTGCAAGCTGGCGGGGGGATGTCTACTGCCTGTACCTGGGTGGTGGGCTGGGGTGTGGATTGGAAACCCATGGCACGGTAGTCGTGGTGCGTGGTGGAGATAGATTCCATGCGCTTCGGGCGCGGACGGATCTCCTCCTCTGTCTCCTTACTGCAGTCAGAGCAGATCCCGCACCTCTCAGCTCTGGGTTCCCTGCCTCCCCAGGTCCCCTTCTCTGGGACACAGCCCCAAGAGGGGGTCTCATGTGGGAGTGCAGGCTTGCCTGTATTTCTCGTAGAGCATGGATGCCAATGTAGCCTTCCGCTGCCCTGCAGAGAGGAAGGTGCCATCAGCCTCCCAACTAAGATTCCCCTGCTGCCTTTTTGGGGTGCACATGACTTGTTGGGGTCAGCCTCACCTTGCCCCAGCAGCATGGCCCTGAGGGGTGGGCAGTCCTTCGGGGGGGAGCTGTCAGTGAGTGAGGAGAGAAACTGGTGGATCGGCAGTCCATGGTAGCCATGCTGGAAGTCCTCACTGCCCAAATCCTTCCCTGGCCGAGAGTCCAAGGGATCCACAAGTACCTGGGGATGGACAGTGGGGGCTGTGGAAGGAGGCAGGAGCACATGCTGCACTTCCCCATGCCCACTCCTGGCTTTTGATAGACCTAGAGGCATAAGCCGTAAGGAGGTGTTGTGAGCTTTCTGGCCAGAAGCCTGGGAAAGCTGGAGCAGGGATACAGTTTGGGCATGGCTGACCTGTCCTGCCTGGTGGAGGTCAGCCAGCCTTGTATGGCAGTCCCAAGCACCTGGGTGCCCAGACTGCCCCTGGGCACGAGCTCTTACAACAACCCATGGAGTCCCCAGGCTGTGGCAGAGTTTGGTCCATCAGGTGCCCCCCAACTTGGCTTGCCCAAGCAGGCAACCCCACGTCACTGTGATGAGCCACCACACACAGCTCGTGCTTCCCAGCAGCGAGATCCCAGCTCCCCTCCTGCCTTACTGTTACTCCCCACGTGCCTGCCTGTGCCTTTTGTGCTATTGAGTTTCATCCCTTTTCTATCCTGCTGGGCTCAAGGTCGTCCGGGTGGCTATTTAAAGACATGTGTCTGCCCAGGAGCAGGGAGCTTCACAAGATCAGCATGTGGGACACGATGGGGCCAACTCTGAGGGGCATTTTTCCTTATGGAGTTACCTCCTTGTGCCAGTCATGGGTCACACGGCTCCGCTGGGGCACCGACTGGCTGGGCTTCTCTGCTGGCAGGGGTGGGATAGGGGGCAGCGCCGGCATTGTGGTGGGGGACTCCTCCTCGGGGCTGGTCCCCCACTTTCCAAGCCAGGGAGGCAGCTTGATCCCAGAGGGATCCTTCCCACTCTCTGGGGATGGTACCCTGCTGGGCACAACTGGTAAGGCCACAGTAGGCGGCTCATCCGTGTCTGCTATCTCCTGGGGGGGCTTGGCTATGTCTGACGTCTCCTGGAGCCTCTTGGTGGTGGCTGTCGGCGTCTCCCCGCAGCAGGGGAGCCTCTCCACAGGCACCCCAGGCAGGGGCTCGTCCCCCTGGACCCACGGCGGCCTCTCCCCATGGCATCTGGGATCCACACGGCTTCTCAGAGCGCCCCTGCAGGTGCGAACAGACCCTGAAGAAAGGCAGCGCGGCGCATCCGCCATTGCCAGCCATGTCCCCAGCCATGTCCCCAGCCCCCACCGGCACAGCCAGCGTCCCGACCCCGGCTCCTCTGCAGTGTCACCGCACTGGGGCAAGGGGCATGGGATTCCTCTCCTTTTGGGGGACAGTGCCTGCTGCTGGGCCTGTCATCTGGAGGGGTCTCCCCCTCCGTCACTCCCTTCTGTCCCCTTGACCTCCAGCAGCAACAGGCTTCCCACCCCCTGCCTGGGCTCAGCCCCCTCCCCACAGGCCGGACCCACCATCTTGTCATTCCCCCGTGGCCCCTAGCGCTCGGCAGCCCCTGCCCCCGACTCTCCCCACCGGGTTACCCCAAGGGCTCTCGCTGCCCACAGCCTGGGCCGCACCCGCCGGCGCAGCCGGCTCCCGGCTCCATGGCGCGTGCGCGCGGCGGGACGCGCCTCTCTCCATGGAGACGGTGCATGGCGCCCGCGCCCCCTGGGGGGGGAGGAGCCGCGCACGCTCCTCCCATTGGCGGAGAGACCCGAGCGCGGCGGGACGCGCCTCTCTCCATGGAGACGGTGCACGGCGCCCGCGCCCCCGGGGGGGGAGGAGCCGCGCGCGCTCCTCCCATTGGCGGAGAGACCCGGAGGAGGCGTGGCCGTGCCGCAAACTAGGCGGGGCAAGTGGATTAGTCAAACGGATAATGGGCGTGGTCTAGAAGGAGTGGGCGGGGCGAGGTCGCAGTCGGCGTGAGGGGGTGCGGTGCGGGACACGGGGCTGTGTGGGACCGCGGGTGCAGGGACACGGGGGGACGGGGCTGTGTGGGGCAGGGGGTGCGGGGACGGGGCTGTGTGGGGCAGGGGGTACAGGGACACGGGGGGACAGGGCTGTGTGGGGCACGGGAGTGCAGCGGGATGGTAATGTCGGGGATGGGGGCACAGGGCTGCAAGGACACAGAGGTGCCTGCGCTGCACTACAGGATCAGGGCTGTCCCCACCTCTGGGGTCCATGTACCCCGTGCCATCTTGCCCCAGTGCTCTGGGGCCACCACTTAGGGCCAAGCTAGCCACAGGGGCTCTCAGGGGTGCACGGTACCTGGCAGAGCCAGCGCAGCCCCACTGGGGCAGCAGGAGGGACGTGCCCAGGGCTCCTGAGGGCACGCCGCTCCCCACGACTTGACCCAAGTGACCGCCACACTGCTTGGTCCTGGCACTGGAATGTGCCCGCTTGCCCCAGGGACCCCCAGCTGCCCTAGGGTGATGGGGTGGGACGTACCCGGCGCCTGGCTGGGTGCAGCCCGTGCCTGCCAGCGTGGAGCAGCAGCCTCCTCTCACCACCAGCCCTCGATGGGCCCCCGGCCCCATCCCTGCAGAGGCCGAGGAGAAGAAGGGCTCTTTGATAGCAGGCGGCGGGCTCGAGAGCGAGGGCTGTTATTCCAGCACTTTGCGGTGTGCGCCGACGGGGCACCGTGCGCTCCACGCTGGGGCCTCTGTTTTTCCTGGCCGGGGATGTGCTCGGTCCTTCTGGCCTCGGCGGGCCGGGGGGGGCCCCCACTGGGAACCGCTCCTCCCTGCGGGCCCTCGGCCCCGTGCCAAGCAGGGGCTCCTCCAAGCCCATCTGCTACACAGCTGTAAGGAGGAGGGAGAAATGGGAGACGTGTCCCAAGCTCATCTCATGGATTCCCCATGCTGGGGCCACATCAGCCCTGCTGCCCCTGGTGAGGGGTTGGTGCCAGGCTGCTCCCAGGGCTGGCAGCTCTCTGTGACGGTTCTGGGTTGCATGTTGCTGGTCGTGCCTCCATGTTCAGCCATGGGCCCTGTGGTGGTCCTTGAGGTGTACCCCTATGCCAGCTCATGCTGAAGGGGTGGCAGCTTGGGGATCCTGCCCCAGCTTGCATCCCCTTATGGTCTTCCTAGGAGCATCCCCAGGTTCCCCACCAAACACCCGTGGGCTTACTCGTGGCTAGGCAGCATGGGTGCTGAGGGATACTGAAGGGACACCAACAGCACCAAAGTACACTGTGGGACAGGGAGCCTGGTGATGCCACCCCGGGTGTGCGCACCCACTGTGGGGCAAACCACCCTGGGGTGGTCTGTGGGGCATCATTGTGAGGCTGTGCTCTGGCAGCATCAGCTCGGGGCAACAGCTCTGGAGCTGCTGGAGCACATCTGGCTGCCTCTCGCCGCCGGCTGACACATCCCTCGCAGCCCCCCCGCCCGGCTCTTTTGGGAACTTGCGTCATTTGTGATCCTCTCCGGCTGAGGAACCAAAACAGCCGTCGGCCCCCGCTCCCCCCGCCTCGGCCCCGTGGGGCTGTGCCCACTGTCCTGCCCTGCCGCTGCTCCGGGACTGACAAAATAAACCTGGCACAGGAAGAAACACCGTGGCAGGCGACTGGCCCCGAGCTCGCGTGCCAGCCCGTGCCCTGTGCCCAGTACAGCACTCCCTGTGGGACTGCTCTGGGCAAGCCCTGGGGGATGATGGACTGGGGATCCCTGGCCCCTCTTTAGCGTCCCCACCTCGCCAGGGACACCCACTCCTCTTTGGGGTACACATCCCCGAGACAGGGCTGTCCTGAGTTCAAGTGGCCCCAGCCCGCGCTGAGCCTCAGAGGCAGGAAGCAGCAGTATCAACAATTTTAAGGCTCATTTACACCCCGAAAACATTCCCCATACGATACTGGGTGTGTATGTGTGGGAAGTGACTGGGCTCCGCCACAGCCCCCACACAGCTCCCGGGGGCCCCCCGCCGCCAGCGCCACCGAGCCGGGCGATGAACAGAGCCGCCATTCTCCCCGGCGGGCTGCGGTCCGCTGCGCGGCGGCTGGCGGGGGCCCAGGCGGTCCCGACGGCGGTGCCAGGTGGGCCGTGCACCGCGCCAGCACCGGCCCCGGCCACTAAATATAGCCACGGCAGCCGGCCACGGAGCAGCGGGCGCGGGAGGCACGCGGCAGGGAGCGGGCGGCCGCATGCGCCCAGCCCCGCGTGTGCTCCCCTCACGGGGCCCGCGCACACGTGCAGGCACCAGACCGCGGTCAAGGCCTGTAAACAGCGCCCGGCGCGCACGGAGCCGGCGGGCCCTTGTGTGCAGGGGGCTCTGGGTGTGCAGTTTCCGCGGTGGCTCACGGTTGTGGGGCCTCTAGCGAAGGGTATGATGTGCTTTCCTCAGTGTGCGCTTGGGGGGGTCTGGGGTGAGCAATACAGTGAGTGTCCCTCGGAGGTGCGCAGCCGGGGGGTCTGGGCTGAGCAGTGCAGTTGAGTTTTGCATGGCAGCGCACACACAAGCAGTACAGTGGCTGCAGTGTGGGGGAGTGCACGGGTATGTGTACATAGAGGGAGCAGCAGGTCCACCCACCACACAGCCTGTCCTGCCCTGTGTTCTGCTCAGGGTTATGATCCTCCTGGGAGCTCGCAGAGAGGCCCGTCTGGGGTGGACAAGAAGTACACATGAAATCAACAAGCCTGCTCTGAGCACATTTAGACCAATCTAGTGCAATTAACTGGTTTTGAAAAGCAGGGAAACATCAGTGTCCAGTGCAGAGCTCTGGTGGCAACACATGGGGGCTGTCAGGGGGGAAACCTGAGGCAGAGCAGGGGCATTCAGGGATGCTGGGGCTGCTGGTGGCAGTGGGGCTGGGTGGGCAGCCCTGGATGTTGACATAAATAGGGCAGGAGATCTTTCTCCTTTTCAATGCCTTTATTAAAGAGATTCAGCTCAGGTGGGGAGAAATCGACGGGTCGCGCCCACGCCGCCGCTGTCCCCAAGAGTGGCACGGAGGAGGAGGGTGATGCAGCTCTGTCCGCTGGTCTGCAGGCAGAGCTGGGGACTGCGTCCTCACGGGAGATTGGCAGATTCCTGCTTTTCAGTCCAACGCTCCGGGTCCCCTCCTTAGTGAACATCCTTTGAGGTCAGGGTGTGAAGCAAAAAGGATCCAAGCAGGCACTGGACTTCACGCCCATCCTTAGACATCACCTAGGGTCCCCCAATTCTATATTGGTTCGTTGTTTTTAGGGGTTTTCCAAGAAAACGGGAAAATTTTGTAGCTGTGCATTTCTCATTTGCATACGTGGTCCCAGGCCACTCCTATTCTCCTGGGCTGCGTGTCCAGGTGTAGCTCCGGGGCAAGCACCAGGGAGGACAATGGCTAAATCACCAATCATTAACGGGTAATTAAAGAACTCTTTAACAATTAAGCTAATTTAACAGCAACTGGTCCCACCGTTTTTTTTCTCTGTAACCTTAAACAAAAATAGGTATATTTTTATTCATAACAGATGTGGTGCACTACTGACACCCCATCTTGGAAACAACCTTGTGACACCCAGTCTGCTCCTCCAGCCCAGTACCAAAATGAGCCTTTTGCCTGTGAGCTGTGGGCAGCCCCACAAAACCATTCTGCTTCATCTGTGGGGTTGGTATGTGGAGAGCCCAGATCCCCTGCAAAAAGCAGGGTACCAACTCTACTGCTGTGACAATGAAGGCCAGCCCTGCCCTGCTCAGGCCAGCCACCCCAAAAAAAGCCACCCCAATGCAGAGCCATTGAAGTCACCACCAAGGAGATGCTTTATTGGAGAGCAAGTGGTAGTGGGCATTAGCCAGGGGGCCAGCCCATCTGCCGCCCCCCCAGCACATGGAGGTGCAGGTGGTAGACAGACTGTGCGCCATGTTTCCCATCGTTGATTACTGTCAGGAGAGGTACAAGGATCAGGCCACCCCCTTTGTCCCCAGCCCCCCAGGACCACCAATGAGGGTCCTGCCCCACAGCACGGTAGGGAATATCAACTCACCAAGGCGGTAGCCATCAGCCAGCCCCTCTGCCTGTGCTGTGCGTGCTGCCACCACCATCAAGTGCCCCAGCAGCTGAAGGAGAGGGGAGTGGCAGGGTCACCTCTGTATGACCCCCACCACCAATGTCCCAGGGACCTCTCCGGACTCACCTCAGTGTCCTGGGGACCCACGCGGCTGATCCGGGGGATGGGGCGCTTGGGGATCACCAGGAAGTGCACAGGGGCTTGGGGGGCTACATCACGGAAGACGAGGCACTACCAGAGGGAGCAGGGTAAGCCCCAAGCCCAAGGGTCTGTCCCCCTGCCCCGCTGGGGACACAGATCCTGCTGTCCCAGATACCTTGTCATCCTCATAGAGAATGGTGGCCGGGATGGTGCGGTCGATGATCTTGCTGAAGATGGTGGGCTGCCCTCCTGCCTCCTCGCCAGCCGCTGCTGCCTGCTGCGCCTTGCCCACCTCCCCGTCCCGCCTGCCGGGCGCCGACGCACACCGCTGGGGCTGAGGGGCATACCTGGCTCACAGCCTGCGCCCCCGGGGGCAAGGACAAGGACACCGCCGTGGGGGTGGGTGGCGGCATGTGGGGAAACAGTGCAAGGTGATGGAGGGGAGCACATGGGGGTAATGGTGGGATGCACGTGGGGGTGGCAAGGGACACGTGGGGAGATGCACATGGGGGTGACATGGAGTGCACCCTA